ATATATATATATATATATATATAAATTGACCAGATCAAGAGCACGTTGCTGCCTGACATCACTGCTACCTGCATACTCTGAGGCAGTTGGTGCAAAGCAAATGGCAAGTCATCTGCTTCTGCTTTCGGCCTGCTTCTTCCCTTCTAAAATTACAAATATGACATTGTAAATTCAATGATTTTGGAGCTGCGATGTCATCACAAACATACAGAAAAGAAGGGCATCACAAAGAATTAAAAAAAATTTTTTTCTCCAGATCCAAGTTTCCCCTACGACTCCAGTACCGTTTATTTAGGAATCCTGACAACTTAGTTAAATCTTATGTCACCGATTAAGGTTCTATGTTGAGTGGTGTTGAGATCATGACTTTATCAGTTAAAGAACTTGGCAAAAATGAAACCCTATCATTGAATGCAACACTTTAAAACACTAATCAATACTTTTCTTAATTTAAATTTCTATCACATTTAAAAGCCCATTTCATAAAACACAAAAGTCGTGAGGACCTAATCATGCAGGTAAACTTGTTGATAATTAAAATGTCAGCAGATTAATGAGTTAATTTCTGTGGATGAGTGTTTTTAGAATAAGTAAAATGTCTAAAATCGGGGAGTGTTTGTAGTGTTTACTTTTTAAAGATTCAAACACTTATGTCTGACATAAAAAAGCCGGTGCTTCTCCTAAGACATTAATATCCATATGTTAAATTTATGTTGGGAGGAGATATAAGAAAACTTTAAAGTAAATCAAACAGATTTTTTTTCAGTGAATCAACACATTAGCAATTTAAAACATCTTTCGAAAAGTTTAAGTTGTTCATTGTCAGAATTTGTTAGTTTACAGATTATATGTAAAAAGATCAATTTAATTATGAAGCAATAAAAATAAGACTTATAGTTATGATTAACATAATAAATATTCAGATTTGTTAAATCTTTTAACAATATTACTGATTCCTTTTTGTTAATAGAAAGTATTGGCATATTTCCATCCATTGAAACCTCGTATCACGTTGTGTAAAACAAATCAATTTGTATTAAATTTAGAGGCTGTGCAGCAACTAAAACTGGACCTCTGCTCGTTTATCACATATTTATAGATATTGACTGTTTGGGATTTCTGGAGTTAGTAGAACCAAAGTGTAAGCAGGGCCGTGGGACAAAGAGACGAGGGAAATAAATCTTTTATAAAACACTTTGATAACAAGAAATTACAAAGCTTGTACATAAAAGTTAACGGAAGATTTCCACCAGGAGCATTGTACAAATAACTGGTCAGATATCGGGATCCTGATTCATCAAACTTTTGCCTCTATCTCCTGCTCCTAGCTTCCCTTCCTTCACCTTATGTTGGGTCAAAGGTAAGAATGGAAGAAAAGAAGGTAAAAAACGTTCAAAATGCTGTCTTGAATTCGGACATTTGCAATTGCATCCGTCACTCAGAGTACATGTTAAGAAAATATACAATTTCTTGAGCTGGGCTCTTCCTATCTGCCCTGTCATGCAACGGATTGTGGAATTCCTATAACTGTAGGTCGTAAGCAGGAGAAAAGAATATTGGGAGGTCCTTCCTTCCTGCCAACACTATTAGAATAGCACTTATCATGGTAAATGCTGACGCACTTCTGCTTTGGCTCAAGAAGTGGGACCAGTTTAATGAATATGTCTGCGTCCTGGAAGTGAGAGAGAGGGATGACGACAAAGGAAGCAGGTGAGGCAACCAGGGGAGAAGTGAAAACAGCTGAGAAGGATTAATGTAATTAGCTGAGGAGAAAGAGAAAAAAGAGGTAAGAAACTTAACAAGAAGAAAAGATAAACATAACTAGAACCCAGAGAAGATAAACAAGGATTATAATAAAACTAAACCTAACAATGTCTCAACTGATGTGGCAAAAAATAGAAGTATCAGAAAATGAGAACTAAACAAATAATAGAACAGTGGAAAATAGAAAGCTAAAGAACCTAAAATTCTAATGATTGTGACATTGACTGATGCAATTTTTAGCCAGTATCAAGGAAATTGTTTGGCCATAGTACAATGGGTGGAAATACGATATCTAATCGAAAGGCACAGTGACCTGAAGGCTTCTGCTATATCAGCATATTGTAGTGCATTGTATGGATCTGATGGTACCTGCGATGTATCGCAGGCCCTCAGCGTTTCACAGCGTAGCCGTGCAATATGCATTATGTTTTCTTTTGTGATGAAGAGAAATTAAAGTGAAGTCTGCCTCTGTTGTTGTCGAAATTGTTCTTGAAACAACAGACTGGCAGAGAGTCTGAACCAATGTGCAAACAAGGAATTAATGATGTTGTTTAGCCAATCAAAGAGAACAAGGGAGAAAAAGAACAACTATTGCTAAGATGTTCGATGCCCAAGCACGCCATAAGGGAGCTAGCATGTCAACCACCACCTTTATTTCAGCCAGGGAGCTAGATCTGGCTCTCTACAGTAGGCCACACATGAAAATTCCTGCTTTCTGGCCACATAAGATTGTAACCAGGATTAATCCTTACAGCTGTTGTTTGCATGTTATGCCTTCTATAAAAGCGGTCTTAGTGTTTTTGCAGTTTAAGCCTCAGATCCTGTCCCTACTAGAATTCAACCCTCCCTATGTTTATTGACGGCCACTTAATTAACACTCAGTCTGATGTACGAAATTTTGTCATATGTACCCGGCATACAGTATGTAGTGACAAATAAAGCAAAGCTGCATATCTTAATGCAGCAAGTTCCTAGCCTGATAAACCAGACTAAATGTGAGTTTAAATGTGTATTTAGTCTGGCCACGATGAATCAGACTTCGGAAGATTGTGGGTGAAAACAACCCGTTGTTTATCAAACCATGTCTGTGCCTATTGGCCAACGCTCTGACCAATGAGCGCAACTGACTGTGACGTAGAAAGCGCAACCGAAAGCTGGTGGGGGAGTGTAAACAAACAGCCTATCTGTAAAACAGCAAATACTTCCTTCTAGAGCGTCTTCTTGCTCACGTTTCAATGAAAACCCCAAGTCTAATCCTTCCTAAACTGATTCCAAAGCTGAGTCAAGCGAGAACTGTTCAACAGTTGTTGCCATCTTCCTTGTTGTGCTTTCTCCAGCGTTGTGCAGCTTTGTGGTCACGCCCTCAAAACGCCGCCCGCTTTGCATCCAAACATTCAAAACACATCTCTGCGTTGTGATCGGCCCGCCAGTTCTAGGGCCTGGGGCATTGATCGAGTCTAGACCACTCACAGGCAAAAATTATTTTGGCCGCTGGCGGGTGGGGCTAGTTTGCTAGGCTAACAAGTACCCTCTTTTCTTTCTACAGTCCTGGTTTGGTCTCTGGTCCTTTTGTAACCAAGACTCTTTTCTAAAACTGTGATAAGTGCTATTAATATTTACAAGAATAAGCTGTATGTTTCTTCCAACATGCAACCAGTATTTAGCATATTTGAGCAGAGCAAGCAAGACATGAGGGCATATCTATGTGAGTATCTGTCCTCGGTTAGAAAGAAGGGTGTTTTCATCTTGGAGATAGCACAAGATTGCTGGTTCAAAAACAGACTGTCGCTCTGGGTCACTGAGCAAGACCCTTAACCCCACATAGCTCCCTGTTCACTACTCAGTGTGACAGCTGACTGCTTCATAACAGACAAGTTAAGTGATGGCCCGAGAGATCATATACCCCTCTGTGGGATTACAAAGGGATCTTTCCTTTCTTCGTGAGAAAGATAATAGAGGAAAAAATACTAGGATTTTCCAATCTTGGAACTGATAGAGGAAAGAAGGCTACTATCAAATTCAGAGAATGAGAAGTTCACCAACAGGGAAATAAGCAGAGGGCAGTTCAGACCACTAGAAGACTCTTACTCCCATTGAGACCTTTGGGTTTTAACATGAATTTTCCATCATTATCCAAAGTCAACTATTGGAAAACAGAACTTCCCCAAAAGTGAAAATTAGATATCCACCAGCAAACAGTACTATGATGATAGGACAAAATTAATGTAGGGAAAAACAGCTCCTCACAAAGGAGAAACTTTATACTTAAAAGCATTAAGTGGATCAAGGAGCTGATAGAATTCAGTAGCATCATACCTTAAAGTTTTTGCTCAAAACTTCGGGAGCTGCCGTTATTATGGCAGGGCTACATACTTTCTGTGTGTGTTTTTCTTTTCCAATCTGTTAATGTGTGGCGCTTAGAATTGTCTTGTTACTGCTATTCAAATAAACGTTCCTTTTGTTCCTATCAGTGGATCAGATGCAGCTGTTGTTGGTAAAATACAAATTATATATTGTAACACAAAAAAAGGGTAACATTTTAATACACAC